AGTGTAGGGTACTCATCAAGTGAGTACTCAAAAAGTACTTGCACTAGAAAATGTCGCGAGAACTCACAAGTATTCGACAGTAGTACTCATGCTAAAATCTGAGTACTCATCATGGAATAGTGGATGTTTCTTGAGTACTACTATATAGTTTTAGTGTACTCTATTGGTTCATGTAAAATACTTATAAACCTATATTCTATTCGGTATCATCGTATTACATCGATTTTATTTAGATATAAAATTAAATAACAACAAATACAGATATAGAACATGAATATGAGAACTATAGCTATTACTTTATCTTTAGATTTTTTTTTAAAGAAATAATAGAGTTATAGAAATGGTCATCGTTAGAGATAAAAGTAAAATATTTCTTTATTTTTATAAAATCAAAAATAAGATTTTATTTACTTGTTTAAAAAATAAAATAAAAAAAATAAAATTTTAAAACCAAATAAATTTATTTTTAAAGAAAATATTCATTGAACAAGAAATCGTACAGCTTTATGATCACTAATTTCGTATGATGAGCAATCATTTCTGTTCTACAATTCCATATTTGTTATGCAGTTTTTTTAAACGATAGATTTTCATATGTTTTAGAATTTTATTCTTTTCTTTGATGTTGTGAAAAAAGTCAGATAAACGTTTTAAAATTCACAACTAATTATCTAATCTCTAAGTAATTTATAAAAAAAAAATGTGAAAAATAAAATTATTTATCTATAGTATTAATCAGATATATTCCTGATTTTAAATCACAGTCGACTTGTAAGAAGAGTTCTTAGTCCATTTTATTTCATTTCATTTTATAATTAATCGAAAAAATTGTATTTTAATGCAGAATTTTTATCTAAATTTATAAAATTAAATTTTAACGAATCTCTATTAACACATTTAAACAAATATTCGACCTTACCTGATAAATGAACATTTTAAAATGAAAATTCATTTATCTTTTCTTTTTCTTTAAGTTACCATTCAATAAAATCTTATAAATAGCTCATCAGCGAAGAATAATGTACAAACTAGATAAGTCGTTAAAATAGTTTCTTTCTATTTTCCATTCTATTACATCATTTTTCTTTATTATATAACTTCAATCTATTTTTTGTATATACAAAGGCATAAATGTTTTGCAGAATATTCTGCGAAAATGAAAACCGAACATAAGTGTTATATTGAGTACTCATGTCATTGTCCTATTAGTAAATTTGTAGAGAAAAATTCGTCAGAGTACACGAACAATATTCAAACATACAGTAGCCAAAAAAAGTCTCTACTACACCGAATCTTAGCTATCATACGCGCTGGATGTCTGAAAGTTTGTGCAAATATACTCCATCATGAATATAGATCAGCAGCAAAATCACACTACAATTGCTTTAGTATAAAGGGAATTATGATGAACTGTATCCATTTTTGCTTCTAGGTTTTTAACCTGAAAAAAGATGTCCACTGGAGTTCTATCTATAGTCGTTCTTTATCCAAAAGATGAGCTCATTGGCTACAAGATTGCTATCTCTGGATGTCTCTGAGTCCTCTATGCAAATACGATGATCATCGGCATGCTATTTCCTTTTAGTACAAGATGTAGACGACAATATTTAACTTTTAGCAAAGCTTCTCTAGAAGTTGGAGTTCACTTCATTGAACTATTGCTGAGTTATAGTTTCCAAAGGACAACAGATAATTTTCTTGAGAGCAACGACCATAGTAAATTGACAACAATTCAGTAACACCTATCATAATTCTTTTTGTTATATAAACAATCAAGGTGCCAGTGTACCTCTAATCTACATTCTTGATGTAGTATGTGCACACAAACTTTTAGATCTCCAACACATATGTCATTTGAAATGCGGTGGAGTGGAGACTTTTGTCCAGTACTATATAAAAATTGCTCGCATACTGGAACGAGTAATTTGAGTATTCATGCTGGCAAGTCATACTCGCTTGATGAGTATTTTCACTAGGGATGTTAGATAGTAATTATTTATTAGGATTTGAAATTAAAATGAATTTGAGTTCACAGAAGAAGTGATAATTCATGATAAACATATTTTGCTAACCATTTAGATACAAGAAGTGAGATTTTAATTACGGTTTATATACTTGAAAAGAAACATCGAATTCCAGTGTTGATAATCAATGTCAAAAAAAAAAAAACTTTCTCTAAGCACTAGTTACTCTTGATAACTCACAGTAATTTTCATTATTATTTTAGAGAATGAATAAAGATTTGGAGACGGAATATTTTATTTGATATTTGAAGTCTATTAAAACTTCTGTCAGAATGTTAAAGAATTGCTAAAATATTTAATCTGTCTTACATACTTCACAAATATCGAAGACTTTAATCCTGTTTCAAGATATTATGAAAATGACATAGGTCAATTCTTATTATGAAGAATTTATTTTCTTTCATAGGTTTTGTGTTTTGGAACTTGTGACGACGATTATAGCGAAACTTCTTTACCCACTAACGATTTTTCCGGTGTAACAGTTTTTCCATTTTGGGATGATCTTTATGTTTATTCGAGCACATCACAAGGAATCTATTATGGAACTGAAGGCAATGCTCCGAATCGTGTATTGATATTTGAGTATTATATGAGTCATTACCAACAGCCTTCTCAATATTATCAGTTCCAAGTCAAGTTCTTCGAGAGTACACCTGGCCTTGTTCAATTCCAATATTTCTATGCAAGTGATGGAGGTATTACTGCCACTGTTGGTGTACAAAGTAAAGAGTGAAAAATTATTTTTCTTGTATTTGTGATTAAATTATGTTCATTTTCTTAAGAATCCAGTAGTGGTCCATATATTCAATATTCCTATCATCAAGCTAATTCCGTACAATCGAATATGGTTCTCACTTTTAATACAAATATTGGAACATATAATAATTCAGCTACTGGCTAAACTATTATTAAAATAATATAATCAATTAATCTTGTGATTGTCTTTTTTATTTGAATTATATTTTAATCTAAAGTTGTTTTTAAACAGAAAATAATATGTTACTTTAACTAATGCAAAAATTTTGTTTTTTTATCTTACGTTGAGCCATTTAATATTGAACTAATCCATTCTATTTGATTTCTTATAATTTCATAAAAACTCTTAAAATTCAATTATCAATGTAAAAGGATTTCATAAGCACGTTCATTCAAGTTCTCAAAAATATCGAAAGTTTATGGACAATGAACAAATACTGATGAATATCGACTAAAATTAATTGTAAGAAGTTCGATCATAGCTGAAACCGGACCGACAGACCAGTACCGCTCCGATTGAGTTTTTAAAACTGATTAGTTTTTTTACCAGACTTCGTTGATTTTTTTCGTTATTTATCATATTTTTTTGATACTAAAACTTGACTTATATTACTCGTTTTTAACGATTTCTTAAGTGTCAATGATTAAGAAATATGAGTCTAGAAGTTTTCCACCGACTAAGATTTAGTCGTTGTGAAAATCTTAGATCTAAATATCGACTAATACTTTCTCACCTTAGGATGAGAACCTCGTATCATGCCAATGAATTTATTATACTCATGAAAAGTTAGTCAAATGCTAGAAGTTACTATCAGTCAAAATTAAAGATTTTCCATTCCCAATTTTGAACTCATTTCTATGGACTACTTCTGACCAACTCTCATAGAACTCCAATAGCTAGTAGTATTCACTTCATGTTTTTATATCGAAATATCAGAAAAATTCAGCCCTGTTGTCGAGGTGTTACCAGCTACTAGTAACATGCAGCTACGTTAATATTTAGACATTAAGAAGCCTGAAATAGAAAGTCTAATATAAAAATCGTACACTTGAGCTCATTTTGTCTTGCTATTTACATTAGTATTCTTTTGCAAACTGAGATGCCCTTCAGTTGGGTCAAATAACTAACCAATTCAAAAAAGAAAAGATTAAACCTATCAATTGTAAAGAAATTGTATCATTATTCGAAAAAAAAACCAATCAAAACATCCTTAGATGTTGTTCAATTTAGTTGCTGCGAATTCCTAGTCGACACTTTTTGAAAGAAATCTTTGTGCATTCTTAATATTACAGCATAAAACGTGACACACTTAAATAGGAGTCGTCACTGTTAGAAATTCCAAGAATTATATGAGTTTGACATTCGTATACGTTCGTGGAAACTAAAATAATAGACTGTTCCTCGAAAGAACTAATTGGTTAGTTAAGACATGAAACGCACCGATTTTTTCGCTGGTTCAATGCAGAATTACGATCGGCCGGTTTTTCACCGTTTTTTTTGCCGATCAAGTCAAGAATATCAACTGACCGATCCGGTCTGAAAAATTCCGATCGGTTCCAGGCATGAGTTCGATAAATACTTAGTCTTGAATTGAGTGCAAAAAATTACTAGTTAAAAAGTCATTATTTAAGTGAAGGACTTCGGAAAATGAGTAGATTATAGATTCTTCGGTGTTCCTGTTATTTCTAATAATTAAACGGGAAACAAACATGATTTTAGGAACAGCACTAGATGACTTTATATTGGCAGATCAGTGATGCGTATTTTTTTAAAAATTTATAACTCTAATATTTAGCATAATCAAGTTTCAAAATCTAATAAATTCAAGCTTCACCCCATTCTAGTTTTCATTTTATGTCTGGACTTTTGAATCCAAGAATATTGATGTACTCAACAATATTATATTTTCATTTTTCTAGCTTTCAATAATGGTCCATTCATTGAATATTCTTACCATTAAGAGTCAATCCAGTGCATTCGAATATGACTCAGCTTTTAAATATAAATGCTGGAAACTATACTAATTGAATTATTGGAAAGATTGCAAATTGAATCAGTCAAATGGCAAATGACATCGAAAGCAGATTTCTAGAATTGAATTAAACATGCATTGATTATCTATAAACGGAAGCTTGCTTTCGTATTAATTTCTATTCTTCAAACATAACTTATTTATCGAAGAAGGGTGTTGGCGTGGGTGTG